CTTTCCTAGGAACAGGAGGCTGATGCTGGGGTTTGCCTCTCAAAGCTGGAGATACCAAAGCCTTGGTGTGCTGCTTTCCTGGCTGGGGGTGGGTGCTTTGAATACAGTCTGGGGTGCAGGTTCATGCAGGAGGTAGGAGCTCCCAGGGGCTCTGCAAGGCTGGAGTTCTGAGGGAACCGAAATGGGGGGGGGCTGGGGCAAGGATGTGGGGGTTTACCCCAGTTTAGGGTGTGAGATGCCAGTGCGGTTGCAGTGGGCTCTGAGGAACCCAGGGCACTTCTCTGACTGATGTTGGCCTGGGCCAGTGCAAACCTGGACAAACATCAGGGTCCCAACATGACCCTTCCACATTCCCCCTGCTCCCCTGGCCTGGCTGCCAGCAAGCTCTTCCCTGCAGGAGGTGGCTGCACACCAGGAGCTGTTGGAGCACCGTGCCTTGCATTTATCAACCTTCTTAGAGAGCCTCCTGCAAGAGGAGATACCAGGGAAAGGTGATGAGGTGGTGGAGAGGCTGGCTGGGCTGTGCTGTGGATAAGGGACCAGCTGGGATGCTGAGGGTAACACACTGGGCCACTACCACAGCTGTGGGAAGGAGGAAGATGAAAGTGGGGAAAGATACTTTGTGCCTGTGTTGTCCCCACCAATCCTGGACCTTTGTAGCCATCAGAGAATTTTTTTTCCTTCTTTCTTTATTTTTATTTATTTATTTATTTATTTTGATAATATAGAAAGGACTTTGGGTGTTTAAATGATAATATAGAAAGGACTTTGGGTGTTTAAATGCACCAATACATTATTTTGATGATGCAGAACAGTCCCCACAAGCTGCATCATGTCTGGTGACCCAGACCCAGCAGCAGGTTAGATTTGGGAATTCACTGCCTTTTCACAAAGAAAAATATTGGGGGTTTTGTTTTTAAGATATTGAAGGACTTTGCCAGGAAAACTGCAAAACTGGAGCTGGGCTCTCAGGGCAGTTGCTCACTGCCAGCCACTGGACCCAGTGGAGAGGAGATATGTCTGGGGAGCCTGGCATGAGAGTGTCACCACCAGTCCTTGCCCTCCACTGCTTGTCCCCACTGCAGACACCTCCCAGCTGTGCCCAGATGTGCACCAGACTTGGGGCTGTCTCTGTCTCATGTGTGGGGATTGGGCTGTGATGGGGATTAAATGTCCCATGGGATGGGGATGCTGGGGAGTCATGGACATGATGGTGGAGCTGGGGATTGTCCCAAGTGTGGGGTCACTGTTGCCCCCCTCAATCAACCTGGAAGCTCTACTGGGAAATATTTGTGAGCCAAGACCCTCTGAGGGATCCAGTCCAGAGAGCAGCCAGTCCTGGGAGAGAAAAATGAAGACCCTGAGCTGCTGGAGGTGTAATAAAGGCATGGGAACAGCCAAGCACTTCTATGCCAGCCCCAAAGGACCAGATTCCTGGAAAGCTGGTCCCACAGGCCCTGCCATGCTGGATCATAAGCAGCAGTAAGGGTTAAATAAAGCCACTGCCTTCTTCAATGTTAAACCCAAAATCAGCTCTTTTGTTGACCTGGGGGAAAAATTTGAGGCATTGAGGACCTGTTGCCAACCCTTAAACCTCTCTTTGGGCAAGAGAGCGGGCAGTGATGCCAAAACCAGGCAGAGGTGGGCAGCCTGAGGCTGGGGGAGCAGGACATGGCCAGCAGGTAGCCAGGATAGGATAGATCCTGCATTCCCCATTGCCCTGAGCTCTCACACTGCAGCAGCCTCAGAGATCTGGCTGAGCTCTCCTGCAGAGAGAGCGGGTACTGCTTTACAGGGATTAAAATGTAGCCCTAGATGCATTTTCCCCTTTCCTCTTTTTTTTGACAGAAGATGGCCAGGCTGTCTCAGGGACCAGGGATGGTTTGTGGAGAGCTCCCTGCATCAGACAGCTCATGGCTAAGCACAGACAGAAGGTTTTTAGGCAAGTTGAAACCTCTCTGGAAATGGCCTCTCCAAGCCCAGCAGCCACGAGGATGCTATTGCAGGTGGCTGCAGTGCCAGCCTGGGTGGCAGACACCCAACAACCCATTTGGGTGGCCCTGTCCCCGAGCCAGGATCTGTCCCTGAGGAAGGCAGAAGGGCAGTCAGTGCCTGGGCACGGGCACTGCTGGCTCTCAGCTCCGGTGGAGAGGGCAGGTGCTCTCGGGGTGATGCCCAGTGTTCTGGGCTCTGAGACGGGACATGGGGAGGTTTGGGAGAATCTGCCCCACACGGTGTGGTCTGAATTGGGCTCTAACTTCTGCCAGGTCCTGCCAGAGCCGCAGTCCCTTTGCTCACAGCCACTGGCTCATTTTGGGGCAGAGCGGGCTCCACACTGAGACAAGGGAGCCCCAGCAGGGCCCCTGCCCGTCTCCCCCCTTCCTTTACTGCATCTCTCCCCTTTTCTTCCCCCCCGTCCCCCGTCCCCCAGTCTGGCTTGCTCTAAACCAGTGCTGCGGGATCAGCTGATGCTTTAATACTGGCCCTGGCGACAGCTGGAGGATGCTGCTGCCTGCGGAGGCTTTGCTCAGTGTCACCCCCCTCCCTGTGACCGATGGGGACCCTGAGGCTGTCCCGCACCGGCTGGGAGGCACCATGGTGGGCAGCTGGCCAGTGTCCACCAGTTCAGTCAGGAAAGGGATGGAAGACACTGGCGGAGGGAATGAGTCCAGCCGCATTCCTCCAGCCCTCAGCGGGGCTAGGGACGGGCAGTGCCCGGCGGGGGCGTCTGTGCCATTTTCCCATGGGTTTTCGCTCCTGGAGATGGAGGAGAGGGGCGAAGGCAAGGAAGGGGTCTTGTTCCCTTCTCTCTCCTGCACCGGGGCCGGCCCTGGTGCCAAGAGAGGCGGGCCGGCTTCTGGAGGGAGGGCTGCCCGTCCCTCG